AAAACCCCCTAACCTGGGCCTCACTATCCTCATAAAAACTCTTTACAGCATTTAATAACTTACCACCTATTCCATATACTTGCAACATCTGCCACATTGCTCCTCTATCCACTCTATCATATCCTTTCTAAATCCATAAATGCAATAAAAACTTCCCTATCTTTATCTAAATACTGTTCACATATATGCTTCAATGTAAACACCTGATCTACACATCCCCTACCCACTCTAAAACCTCCTTGCCATCGCAATCCTACATTCTGTCTTACCTCTAATTCTTTCAATTATAAAACCCCACCGTACACTTTTCTGGTATACTCAGTAAGCTTATTCCTCTATAATTTTTACAGTCTCTTTTGTCCCCTTTCCCTTTATATAAAGGGACTATACATGCTCTCCCCGCCAATCCCTAGGTACCTTTCCCCTCTTTCATTACATTTATTAAAAAAAAAGTAAACCCAAACCCCTCCAAAACTATATCCCCCTGCTTTTAACATTTCTGTCATGATCCCCTCAGTTCCAGCTGCTTTACCCCCTTTCAATTTTACGTAATGCCTCACGTACCTCCCCCACACTTACATTCTGCTCTTCTTCACTCCTAAAGATGGTATACCTCCCTGACCAGTGCATGAAAAATTACTGCCTCTGTTTCTTCATTAACATTTAAAAGTTCCTCAAAATATTCTCGCCATCTACCCAATACCTCCATCTCCCCATCTATTAACTCCCCTACTCTGTTTTTAACTGACAAATCCATATTTTCCCTAGGCTTTCTTAACTTGTTTAACTCACTCCAAAATTTTTCTTATTTTCATTAAAATTTCTTGACAGTGCCTCCTCCCACTCTATCATCTGCTCTCCTTTTGCACTCTCTCACCACTCTCTTTACCTTTCTTTTACTCTCCATATACTCTGCTCTTCTTATAACACTTCTGCTTTGTAAAAACCTCTCATAAGCTACCTTTTTCTCTTTTTATCACACCCTTTACTTCATCATTCCACCAATCACTCCTCTTTCCTCCTGCCCCCACCCTCCTATACCACAAACTTCTGCCCCACACTCTAATACTGCATTTTAAAACTATTCCAACCCTCTTCAACCCCCCACTACTCATCTTTGCACTAGCCCACCTTTCTGCCAATAGACGCTTATATCTCACCCGAACTTCCTCCTCCCTTAATTTATACACTTTCACCTCCCTCTTATTTGTTGTTGCCACCTTCCTCTTTTCCCATCTACCTCTTACTCTAACTGTACTACAACTAAATAATGATCCGATATATCAGTTGCCCCTCTATAAACATGTACATCCTGGAGCCTACCCATCACCTTTTATCCACCAATACATAATCTAATAACTACTTTCATTACGTGCTACATCATACCTTGTATATTTATTTATCCTCTTTTTCATAAAATATGTATTACTTATTACCAAATTTCTTTCTACACATAGCTCAATTAAAGGCTCCCCATTTACATTTACCCCTGGCACCCGAAATTTACCTACTACTCCTTCCATAACATTTTTACCCACTTTAGCATTGAAATCCCCAAACCACCATTACTCTCACACTTGATTCAAAACTCCCCACGCATTCACTCAACATTTCCCAAAATCTCTCTCTCTCCTCTACACTTCTCTCTTCTCCAGGTGCTTACACGCTTATTATAACCCACTTTTCACATCCAATCTTTATTTTACTCCACATAATCCTTGAATAATACATTTATAGTCCCTCTTTTCCTGCCATAGCTTATCCTTCAACATTATTGCTACTCCTTCTTTAGCTCTAACTCTATTTGAAACCCCTGACCTAATCCCATTTATTCCTCTCCACTGAAACTCTCCCACCCCCTTCAGCTTTGTTTTCACTTAAAGCCAGGACATCCAGCTTCTTCTCATTCATAACATCCACAATCATCTCTTTCTTATCATCTGCACAACATCCACGCACATTCAGACTTCCCACTTTGACAATTTTCTTCTTCTTATCTTTTTAGTAATCTTTACAGGAAAAGGGTTACTAGCCCATTGTTCCCGGCATTTTAGTTGACTTTTACAACACGCATGGCTTACGGAGGAAAGATTCTTATTCCACTTCCCCATGGATATAAAAGGAAAATTAATAAGACCAAGAACTATTAAGATAAAATCAAAGAAAACTCAGATGAGTGTGTATAAATAAATGTGTACATGTATGTGTAGTGTGACCTAAGTGTAAGTAGAAGTAGCAAGACATGCCTGTAATCTTGCATATTTATGAGACAGACAAAAGACATCAGCAATCCTACCATCATGTAAAACAATCACAGGCTTCGTTTTACACTCACTTGGCAGGATGGTAGTACCTCCCTGGGTGGTTGCTGTCTACCAACCTACTACCTACATACATACATGTTACAATAATAAATTATTAACATTTTAAAATAATAAATAATTCGTAACCCTACACTCAAGGTACAACTTTCTTAGACACTACTGTGTTGCTATATATATCTATGCTAAAATAATAAATTATAAGTAACATATTTACAATAATAAATTAGTCAACTCTGTGTCTCACGACACCCTAATGACGCTCCGTGTGTCTCACACGACACTTATATCCGAGTTGTGACACTCCCTGTGTCACACGACACTTATCCGTGTAATGACGCTCCATCTCAACCGTGACCCTTGACACCCTTTTCTCTGTGTCACACGACACTCCTGCTCTCCGTGTCACACGACACCCTTTTCTCTGCGTAATGACGCTCCTACTCTCTGTGTCACACGACACCCTTTTCTCTGCATCATACACTTTCTCAACTTTGTCACCCTTGACACCCTGTGACACACTCACAGCGTCTTTCTCGAGGCCAGTCACATGACACTATTCAATGTACACTACAACCGTATCTTCTTCAGTGTCACATGACACCCTTTTCTTCTCAGTGTTCCACTACGGTCCTATAGCATATCTCAGTGTGATACTCCATCATACTTCCTTAAGTGTCACACTACAGTCCTAGCCCAGTTCAGTATCACACTCAACCTTTTCTTCACGTAGTGTCCCACTAAAACAACGTCCGATGACTCAGCCCACAGTTGACCAGCGTAAGCGGTGAGTCCGCAGACATCACCTGTCCTGTAAATACTCTCTAAGGCCAGTAGAAGTACACCGTAAGATGGTCTGGTGAGTACTATCTACCGCCTTCAAGACCAGTTGACACACCGCAAGGTGGTCCGTGCAGCACACACTATGTTGCAAGCTCACTAAATGCGGCCATCAAGTAACTGAGGCCAACAGACTCAGTAAGCTGCGATGAGCGGTTCTTCTAAAATCAGTAGAAGCCAGCAGAATACTCAACTGCCAGTAGATGTGTACCATTAGGTGTTCTGGTAACTACTGCTTAGATGCGTACCGTGAGGTGTTCAGGTACTTACTGCTTAGATGCGCACTGTGAGGTGTTCAGGTACTTACTGCTTAGATGCGTACCGTGAGGTGTTCAGGTACTTACTGCTTCTAAGGCCGGCTCAGCAGTCCCCACATTGGGTTTGATGACGTACCCATGGTACTGCCGGCCGGCAGGTTAACAATTTAACCGCTAGTTTGGCAGGGGGCCGTAACATTGGTCATAATAGATCCCCAAGCACAAATACCATAGGTGAGGTAAGTGTAAGTAATGTTGTTTGGGGTACAGAGTACGGTATTTTGGAAAGGATGCCTACTGTTTTGGAGACTTCTTGGCAACATGTTGGATGTTGGTCTGAAATTTAAGGTTGCAGTCAAGGTGAAGACCTAAAAATTTGCCCTCAGTGTGTCTTGTTATGGGGGAACCATTGATCAATATGTTAAGTTGGATATTTAAGGCTCTGTTTCGAAACAGCATACAGTAGGTTTTGTCTCTATTGAGAGTGAGTTTGTTGGTCGTCATCCACAGGTATTTTTAGTAGCTCATCATTAACAGCGTCACTAAACGTAGTTGAGTTTGAGTGGAAGAAGACGTGTAAGTGGTGTCATCTGTGAATAAAACTGGTTTAAGGAGATGAGATGTGTTGAGGAAATCATTAATGTAAATGAGAAAGAGCAGAAGGCCAAGGACATTGTCCTGATGTCTCTTGCTAAGATAAGATTTTAGGTATTCAAAGGTATGTCCTCTGACCCCTTAATGTTCTGGTTTAAGGAGCAAGATGTGGTCCACTGTATCAAATGCAGAAAGCATTCAATACAGTGGACCAGAGGATATTCATAGTATTTTTCAAGCGCTGCATATAGCAGTTCAAGCATTTGTATAATTGCATCATTTGTACTTTTGTTTGGTCTAAACCCAAACTGATAGGGGTTAAGTATGTTGTGATGTATTAAGCAGGAATAAACTCGCTTATGTATTATTTTTTTGAAGATTATGGATAGTAAAGGTAAGTTTGATATAGGCCTATAGCTTTTCACTTCAGTTGGATTGGCTCCTTTGAGGATTGGGGTAACCCTTGCTATGTTGAGTATGGATGAGAAAATCGAACATTTCACTGATTTGTTAAACAGAGTTGGTTGTAAGTGGTAAGGGAGTGAGCATCCAGCAGGTGTATTTGATTGTGTTAGAGAAAAGTGAGTGGACATTAATGGATATTATGATTTTACATGTTAGTGGAATGTGAGCCAGGTATCATTTATGTACAGATTAAAGGAAATCGGTTTGTCAGACTTGAATCCTGGAGGTGGGAAGTATAGTACCTGCACTCTGAAGTAGGGGTGGGGATGTTGCAGTTAAGAGGGTCATTTGAACTGTGAAGTCTGCACATTTCTTGCAAGACAGCTGTTGAATGAATGATGGTTAATGAGAGATGATCAGTGTGTAAAAATAAACATTTGGCCAGTGGTAAATTATTGTAATTATGTAATAACCTGTAGAAAATTTGGTTTGGTTCAACCAGATGTGTAAGAATTAGTGTCATCATAATATTAAGCCAGATAATGCTGTACTGTACTTAATTTTCATTAATTTTTACTTTCAGTAATTCTCGTAATAAGGATCGAGATTACGATCGGCGTCACAGGCGACATTCCCGTTCTCGCTCCAGAGGTCGATCATCTAGATTACATCACAAAACGTAATGTAACCAGAGATAATTGTTCAGTATTGTCATGCTTTGCTCTATCAAACTTTTCCTTGGTAAATGTGTGCACAGTTTCCTTGCAGTCTCGAAATTTCTTTATATTCTACATGTTTTTGTGCCAGGTAGATTGCTGTCTATGCTGTATTTATTAATTTTTTATATGTGATGTTCTGTATCTCCATGGGGAAGTGGAACAGACTTCTTCCTCTGTAAGCCATGCATGTCATAAGAGGTGACTAAAATGCCAGGAGCAAGGGGCTAGTAACCCCTTCTCCTGTATATATTACTAAATGTAAAAGAGAAACTTTCATTTTTCCTTTTGGGCTACCCTGCCTCGGTGGGATACGGCCAGTGTGTTGAAAGGAAGAAAAATATTCAGTACATGCTCTGTTGTTTTATGCTATGCAAATTCACTTTTATGTGTTACCCCATTTGTAGCAGTAATTTGCTGTACACAGTGCATATTTGTTCTTACGCAGTCACCCAAGCCCAGCATCACTTGATGCTTTAACAATATCTTTAAATATAACTAAACTGGGTTTGTATTGTATTGTATTCAACAAATTTTGTTGAAAATAAGAAAAAGTTTTGGAGTGAGATTAATAAGGTGAGGAAACCTAGGGAACAAATGGATTTGACAGTTAAAAGTAGGAGACGAGAATTATTAAATGGAGAGTTAGAGGTATCAGGAAGATAGAGGGAATATTTTGAGGAATTGGTAGATGATGATGAAAGTAGGGAAGCTGTGATTTCATATATAGGGCAAGGAGGAATAACATCTTGTAGGAGTGAGTTGTGAGTGTGGGGGAAGTTCGTGAGGCAGTGGGTAGAATGTAAGGGGATAAGGCAGCTGGGATAAAGATAGAAATGTTAAAAGCAGATGGGGATATAGTTTTGGAATGGTTGGTGCTTTTTTATAATAAATGTATGGAAGAGGGTAAGGTACCTAAGGATTGGCAGAGAGCATGTATAAAGGCAAAGGGGACAAAAGAAAGTGCAAAAATTATAGGGGAATAAGTCTGTTGAGCATACCTGGTAAAGTGTATGGTAGAATTAAGAGTAAAACGGAGAGTATGATAGCAGATGAACAAGGAGGCTTTAGGAAAGGTAGGGGGTGTGTGGACCAAGTGTTTACAGTGAAACATATAGGGGAACAGTATTTAGATAAGAGTAAAGAGGTTTTTGTGGCATTTATGGACTTGGAAAAGGCATATAACAGAGTGGATAGAGAGTCAGTGTGGCAGATGTTGCAAATGTATGGAATAGGAGGTAGGTCATTGAAAACAGTGAAACATTTTTATGAGGACAGTGATGCTCAGGTTAGAGTATGTAGGAGAGGAGATTATTTCCCAGTAAAGGTAGGCCTTAGACAAGGATGTGTGATGTCACCGTGGTTGTTCACTATATTTATAGATGGGGTTGTAAGAGAAGTGAATGCTCGGGTGTTGGCAAGAGGTGTGGGATAAAAGATAAAGAATCTAACACAAAGTGGGAGTTGTCACAGTTGCTCTTAACTGATGACACTGTGCTCTTGGGAGATTCTGAATAGAAGTTGCAGAGGTTGTTGGATGAATTTGGTAGGGTATGTAAAAGAAGAAAATTAAAAGTGAATATAGGAAGGAGTAAGGTAATGAGGATAACAAAAAAAATTAGGTAATGAAAGATTGATATCAGATTGGAGGGAGAGAGTATGGAGGAGGTGAATGTATTCAGATATTTAGGAGGAGATGTGTCTGCAGATGAGTCTATGAAAGATGAGGTGAGTCACAGAATTGACTAGGAGAAAAGGTGAGTGTTGCACTTAGGAATCTGTGGAGACAAAGAATTTTGTCCATGGAAATACAGAGGGGAATGTATGAGAGTATAGTTATGCCAGTGCTCTTATATGGGTACAAAGCATGGGTGGTGAATGTTGCAACAAGGAGAAGGCTGGAGGCAGTGGAGATGTCATGTCTGAGGGCAATATGTGGTGTGAATATAATGCAGAGAATTTGTAGTTTGGAAATTAGGAGGAGGTGTGGGATTACCAAAACTATTATCCAGAGGGCTGAGGAGGGGTTCTTGAGGTGGTTTGGACATGTAGAGAGGGTGGAACGAAATAGAATGACTTCAAGAATGTGTAAATCTGTAGTGGAGGGAAGGCAGGGTAAAGGTCGGCCTAGAAGAGGTTGGAGGGAGGGGGTAAAGGAGGTTTTGTGTGCGAGGGCTTGAACTTCCAGCAAGCATGCGTGAGCTTGTTAAATAGGAGCAAATGGAGACAGATGGTTTTTAGGACTTGACTGGACAAGTATCTTCACCAGGTGCTAGATCAACCAGGCTGTGATGGATATATGGGGCAGCAGGCCTCCAGCAGCAACAGCCTGGTTGACCAGGTAAGCACCAGATGAGCCTGGTCTACGATCGGGCTCAGAGAGTAGATGAACTCTCAAAACTCTTCAAAGGTATAGTATAAGGTAAGGTGCTGTTGGAGTGTGAGCAGGGTAATATTTATGAAGGGATTCGGAATCTGGTAGGCCAGACTTAGAGTCCTGAAGATAGGAAGTACAGTGCCTGCACCCTGAAGGAGGGGTGTTAATATTGCAGTTTTATAACTATAGTGTAGGCATGCATTTGGCAAGACAGTGATGGAGCGAATGATGGTGGAAGTTTTTCTTTTTCGGGCCACTCCATCTTGGTGGGAAACAGCTGATGTGCTAATACAAAAATAATTAGAAAAAGCAGATTTGGGTATGGGGATAACCAGCGAAGATATTTTGAAAGAAATAGTATACAGTGGACCCCCGGTTAATGATATTTTGTCATTCCAGAAGTATGTTCAGGTGCCAGTACTGACCAAATTTGTTCCCATAAGGAATATTGTGAAGTAGATTAGTCCATTTCAGACCCCCAAACATACACGTACAAACGCACTTACATAAATACACTTACATAATTGGTCGCATTGGGAGGTGATCGTTAAGCGGGGGTCCACTGTAGTTGGTTTTTCAGTTTGGGTCTCTTGTGGTAAGTCCCCCAAAAAAGGGGGGGGGACACCTGGCTGGATGTGTTTGGAGCAAATTATTTTCTTCTATATTTTGAACATTGTATGCATCTTAAACGCGTATGTTTTTTGCTAAACATTTGTCAAGAAATTTGGGATCGTCAGTCTTACAATGTACCTTTTCTGTTTTAGACGTTAACTTTGGTTTTCTTTATGTGATATCGCTTAATGTGTCATCACTTGGTAATGCATTTATGGCATAAAACGAAGGGCACCTATATACAGTACATTATTTTTTTTCTTTTTCTTTTAAAAATTGATAAAACTGGAAATTTTACAAGTATTTGAAAGATTTTGCTTGTATTTCCTGACCTAAAATCAGCCTTTGTGAACAGCAGATATTAGCCTTACCTCCATACAACACACAGTATATATTCTGCCAGCACAGCATCATGTGTGAAGAGGGAAGGAAGAGATTACCATCATATGTATATCTTCAAGCTATCAAACTAATTCTGTCTCCCACAAGCAAAACCACTTCACAGCTTATCTACAGTGCCTATACAACTTTGTTGTGATTGTATAAATGAGGGGGTAGTAATGTACTGTAATGTTATTGGAATAAGAAAGAGGTGTGCCACTCCACTCTCTCTGGTATAGTAGTAGTTGTAACCCCCAACTCAGGCATTTTCCAAGGAACACTATACTACCACCCTCCATCCCCTGGATGGGACTCAGGCATTTTCCAAGGTACACTGTACTACCATCCTCCATCATCAGGATGAGACCCATGCATTTTCTAAAGTACTATACACTCTACTACCACTCCCTCTCCCAGGATGGGATTCACAGTAGTCAACTAACACTTAGATACTGTACCCATTTACCGCTAGGGGAACAGAGACAACAGGTGTAAGAAAACATGCTCACTGTCTTCATTCACCCCAGGATCAAACCCAGGCTATTTGTTTGTGAGCTAAAGATGCTGCCACTGAGGTACAACCCACAAATTTGATGTGATGACTATACAAAATAAAGCATCCCTTGTAAATTACCATTTCTGCTGTGCAGTATAATATAAAGTCATTCATTATATTATGAGAGTTAGGTAAAGAACAAAAAGGCACAATGCCTTTGACTGACTCCACTAATACTGCCACCGCTGCTGCCGCTGCCTCCGCGTCCGCCTCCTCCTCCGCCTCCTCCTCCTCCTCCTCCTCCGCCTCCTCCTCCCCCCTCCTCCTCTATCCTCCTCCTCTCCTCCTCCTCCTCCACCTCCTCCCCTCCTCTCTCCTCCCCTCCTCCCCTCCTCCGCCTCCTCCTCCACTCCTCCTCCACTTCCTCCTCTGCCTCCTCCTCCGCCTCCTCCTCCGCCTCCTCCTCCCTCCTCCTCCTCCCCCTCCTCCTCCGCCTCCTCCTCCGCCTCCTCCTCCGCCTCCTCCGCCTCCTCCGCCTCTGCCTCCTCCTCCGCCTCCTCCTCCTCCTCCTCCTCCCTCCTCCTCCTCCTCCTCCTCCTCCTCCTCCTCCGCCTCCTCCGCCTCCTCCGCCTCCTCCTCCTCCGCCTCCTCCTCCTCCGCCGCCTCCTCCTCCTCCTCCTCCTCCTCCTCCTCCTCCGCCTCCTCCTCCTCCGCCTCCTCCTCCGCCTCCTCCTCTGCCTCCTCCTCCGCCTCCTCCTCCGCCTCCTCCTCCGCCTCCTCCTCCTCTGCCTATATATATATATATATATATATATATATATAAATATATATATATATATATTGGATGTGAAAAGTGGGTTATAGTAAGCGTGTATGCACCTGGAGAAGAGAGAAGTGTAGAGGAGAGAGAGAGATTCTGGGAAATGTTGAGTGAATGCGTGGGGAGTTTTGAATCAAGTGTGAGAGTAATGGTGGTTGGGGATTTCAATGCTAAAGTGGGTAAAAATGTTATGGAGGAGTAGTAGGTAATTTTGGGGTGCCAGGGGTAAATGTAAATGGGAACCTTTAATTGAGCTATGTGTAGAGAGAAATTTGGT